AATAACTCATCTGCCTAATAGATACATAATAGGAAGTTAATGCTGTTTGCTCTAGTTACATCCAAGTTAAGTAGAGTAGTAATCATTGGGTCATTTGTTCTTTATTGTGTGAGTTGACTGAGATGCATCACACCTTTAGCCCCAGTTAGTGGTCTCCAAAGTCTCATCTCCAACCTACAAAACCTTCTTCCTTCTCTTCCTTTCTTTCCGAGAGTGTGGCAGCATCAGGGCCTGTTTCATCAGCTGTCCTTTTGTTTTCCCTGATCTTTGTACAGTAATGTTGGGGTATCTTGCCAATCCACAGATTGCAGAGCAATGGAAAACCCTGGCCCTTTATATTCCTTGAAATGGGCTCTTTTTGTACTTAAGAAAATGAAGTTGATTAATGATCAAAGATTAGCAATAGTCATGCTCCCAAGACCTACACCACCAAACCCCAGACCACTCAGAAACTCATCTTCATGTAATTGTCATCCCATCTCTCTGCTCTTCTGAGAACTCCCATTTTGCCATGGCCACCTCTTATGGCTTCCTTTCCTTATTCCTTCTTCCATTTCTTATCTTTTTCTTTTTAAAAGGAGCCTGGGGTTTGTCTTAATCCTAGACCTGGGTTGAAGATACAATTCATGATATACGATTACCATGTCTCCACATAATGATACTTTCTTACTTGTAGAAATTTTACCCTTCACATTCTCTTTAGTTCTCTGGGTCTCTCCTCATTAGGCATCTCCACGCTGTTTTGTCTGGGTGCTTCTTGCATTTACTTGCCACAACCCCACTCCACTGACCTCTCTTCTCTTCCCACATAGTTCCCTTTATAATTGTAGATTCTTTATCTCACAGAAAATATGTTTATCTCACCGAGTGGTTTTATTTTCCTTAACCAGAGATCTCCATTTTCATACATTTTCCTGAAAAATGACATAATTTTATTTTTTTGTGTGTTTTTAGAGACATGATTTCTCGCTGCCACTCTATAGACCAGGCTGGCTTCAAAACTCAGAGATCTGCTGCCTTTGCTTCCTGAGTGCTGGGATTATAGGTGTGCACCACCACCACCTGGCTGTACATTATTCTTTATGGCTGAGGAAAACTCCATATTATATGTATGCCATACCTTTTGCTGCCATGTCTTTATCAATGCATGTGTTTTTAGCCATCTAGATTGATTCTGTTACTTGGATATTGAAGTAGATCAGCAAACGTGGACATTCGGGCATCTCTGTTGTACAATGTCCTAGTTTGTATTTTGTTGCTGTGATAAAGCATCAACCAAATCTGACTCGTGGAAAAAAGGACTTATTTCACCTTACAAGTTATGGTCCTTCACTGAGAGTGGCTGAGGCAGAGCCTCAAGGCAGGAAGCTGGAGGCAGTAGCAGAGGCTGAGGCTTACTACTGGGCTCACATTTAGTCACCTTTCTTATAGCCCTATAAGGGGCTGGGCCTTACTACATCAATTATCAATGGAGAAAGTGCCTCATTGACATGCCAAGTGGTTAGTCTAATGGAGGCAATTTTCAGTTGAGATACTTCTTGCCAAATGTGTCAAGTTGAAAACTGAAGTTAACAATGATATTTCACTCCTTGTCAAATTTGACACACAAACTTCATCCCTTTAAATCATGTTTCCTTTTTGTCTCCAAGATCTCATGTAAATATCATAACAGAAAATATAGTACAACTGTAAGAGTCCCACAATCCTTAAAAATTTTAGTCTAAGTTTTAAAATACATTGTAAATTAAAAATTCACTTTCCCCCTTTTACTTTGATTAGTACTGATATAGATAGATAGATATAGGCAATTGCACTATATATATAATATACCTATATGCATAGTATATATCCTGAGTCCGTTTTTGTTTGTGTATATGTGGGTTCATGGCCGACAACTTTGTATAGGATATTCCTGACAAAGTCTGATTTGGCCTCTCCTGGCAGTCATTACTCACCTCTAGATCTTTGTCTAGGGATGGAACCCTATGAAAATTTCCCCATCTACATTAGCATGTCTATTGACATTGCCATTATTCACATCTTGTTTATGCAGCCGTTTCTAGGAAGTTTCACAGCAGACTTCCTGGTATTCTGGCTCTTACAATCTCTCACCCTGCCCCCTTTCTGAAATGTTACCCAAAACGTAGATACAGGAGCTATGATGTACATGTACCCATAATGGCTGAGTTCCCTGCAATCCTGTCACCTCTGTATTATATCCACTTGCAGTTTTCAGTGATGATCTCCCTCTGCTGTAAAGAGAAGCTTTTTCCATGAAGGGTGATAGTTACACTTAACTGGTTTCTATGATTAATCCATGCTATATACCCACATCTGAAAATCTGGAGCTAGGAACTGTAAATGAGAGACAATATGTGGAACTTATCTTTCAGGGTCTGGGTTACCTCATACAATGTAATATTTTCTATGAATATCGATTTGCCTGCAAATGTCACGATTTAATTTTTTTTTCTAACTAAATAGTATTCCATAGTGTATATGAGCCACATTCTCTTTCTTTACTGAACGGAGCAGCAATGGACCGAGTGAGCACACATCTGTAGGGCAGGATGTGAAGACTTTAGGGCATGTGCCAAGGAGTAGTATGGCTGAGTCATATGTTAGATTTATTTTTAGTTTTGGTAGGATTCTTCACACCGGTTTCCAGAGTGGCTGTACCAATTTACATTCCCACCAACAGGACACAATTTTGAAAGCATCCAGTTGTCTTATCTTAGTACCTCTATAAAGTCAAAGTTCTATTTAAAAACTCAGTCTTTTAACTGTAGGCTCCTGTAAAATAAAAAAAAAGTTGCGTATTAGTTTTATTCTGAAAGGGGAGAATTGGTGCACAATGTCAATAAGATCAAAACAAAACTAGCGCCGGGCGGTGGTGGCACATGCCTTTAATCCCAGCACTCGGGAGGCAGAGGCAGGTGGATCTCTGTGAGTTCGAGGCCGGGCTGGACTGATAGCCTCCAAAACAATACAGAGAAACCCTGTCTCATAAAAAAATAAGTAAATAAATAAAAAACCAAAACTAGCTCAGTGTCTGACATCTGGAGCATACTCATGATCTTCTGGGCTCCTTCTGGTTTTGATAGCCCCTCCTCTCCAGTTCTTCCACCCATAGTTCATGCATCTTGCCCTATGGAGTCCAGCCAGGCCACTTTGCGTTTGTTACCATCTTTGGTGGTGGACAGCCCACGGTGTTGTCATCTCCAGTGTGCTGAGGTCTCCACTACAGCTGAGACTGCTTCTTCACCAATGACCTCTCCTGGAATTTTCAGGGATCCTGACCTTGCCACATGATGCCAGTCTCAGTTTCTACCCATGACCTCCTCAATCCCAGTACTTTCCTGTACATGGGCTACACCTTCACCAATGGCCTTTCTGGGCTTCTATTCAGGGAGACTTCATCCCTACCACATAGTGCCAAGTCTCAGCCTTTCTCCATGCCTTTAGAACAAGCGCTATGTAGGAGATTCTTACACACTCTTGGCCAGGCTCTTCCAGTGTGATTTTCACTTCCCTGCCTCCTCCACCACAGCTTCTTAGCCTGGCTCTGAGAAAATAGTTCCCAGAAGATTTTGCTTCAAAATGAATGCTGATCACTCATTAATCACAGCTGATTTTTCAGTCACACCTAGCCAGGATCCATTGTCCCCATAAAGCAAAGATGGTTTCACTTCCACAAATTCTCAGTTCAACTCTATACCACATGAAGAATCCTTGATAGTCTTTAAGAGACTCTCCAGCTTCCCTCTGAAACCTCACAAGCCAGACTCCTATTGTCCTCATTTCTCTTAGTAGCCTCACCTTCCAAGCTACCAAAGAATAGTTACTTTGAACACTTAATGGTTTTTTCAACCCAAAGTTTTAAGAAGTTCCATAATCCCCCCACAAAATAACATGTCTGTCCTTCGTAGCAATACCTTCTCTAGGCACAAATTTCTCTTTTAATTTGCTTTTTGTTATGATAAAACACTGGCCAACACCAAATTGGGGACCGAAGGGTTTTTTTAAGCTTACAGGTTAGTCTGCCACCGAAGGAAACTGAAACAGGAACTGAATCAGAGACCATGGAGGAACACTGATGCTTGTCCTGCTTCCAGAATCACATTTCTTACACAGCTCCATCCCGTTTGAATGTGGATGGCACTTCACAGTGGTCTTGGCACTCCTGTATTAATTAGAAATGGAAAAAATACCCTAGAGGCAGGCCCAAGCAATTTCTTTCTTTTCTCTTCCTTTCTTTTTTTTGTGAACTAATTGAGTTTTAGTAGGGTTACTTACAGATGCAGAAATGACTCAAAGATTGCTTCATTACCAAAGTCCATGCCAGCATGAATGACCAGTCAGCAAAGCTGGGAACCTGGAGCACACTGCACATTCTATAAGAAGCTTAACAGGTTGGAAGGTGCATTTTCCAAGTGGCTCAGTTGGCTTGAACCTCCTTCAAGTTGCTTGATTGGTGTCTGCTTCATAAAGGTCTTCCTTTTCAGCTTGTCTTTTCTGAGAGGTGTGCTTAGCAGTCTTTACTGTGTACTCTTAGGAGGTAGGGGGCCTAGTGAATCTGGCTGGTTTCAGGGACTTGCTGAAGCTATTGTGAGTTGTTTTCTTTTACTCTTATTGAGCTTCCCTACAGGGTGGAATACTTCAGTCTCCAAAGTGGGAAACCCTCTCCTTAAGGGCTCCACATTAAAATTCACTTGGGCACCTAATACCTAGAAGCCCACTGCTGTGGTTCTTGTTGAACTGCTCCAGGAACCAGCAATTGGAGGCTAAACGGGAGCATGAGATCAAGGCTGCAAAGTGAATTTGAGACTGTTCTGAGCTACACGATGAAACCTAATCATACAACAATGAACCATATAATTCCTTAACTGAGGCTCCCTTTCCAGCTGTATCAGGTTGACAAAATGCCAGGTCAACTTGGATTAACATGCTTAGATTCCCCCATGTTTGCAACCAGGAATTACAAGTCATTTTCTTTTCAGGTTTTTGCAAAACCTCCATATTCCACACTTATTTCCACAGTGGCTGCACGGGTTTGTGTCCTGCTTCCTCTGCTCTATCCTAGAGGCTTCCATTGACTACAACACCTCATAGCTCACCTTGGATTTTTAGACAGAATGCTGGAGAATATTCACTCACGAGTGTCAATGCCAAGAATTCCATGCAGGAACACTGAAACCCTCTTTAGAAGCACCAGCATTGAATGAAACCAGTAGGGAATAAATAAAGCATGTTGTCTTGAAATATTAAGAAGGGTTTACCACTACTAGGGGCCCAGCATTGCCTGAGATGTCAAGGGAAGGAGCTTTTATGATACCATCTGTCTTAGCTGTCACTCCTGACCCTAATCACGACTCACTACTTAATCTACTATGGCTGCACAATGATCCCTTTTAGTTTTTTGCTACTCCTGTTGATGAAATCTTCAATCCTGGGTTATGACAGCCATGCTCCTTCCCTGGTCCCAGAGGAGAGGTCCTGATGAGCACTTCTAGTAAAGGTCATAGCATTGGTGATGATTGAGGCTCTTGACATATCCTGTTTAGGACCACACAGGGGCTTTCAACACTGTCTAGCAATCTTCTTTTAACTCTTTTCTCCTTTACTGTTGAAATGAACACAGTCTACAGTCATGGCTGGCACTTATGATCTAAAGTTCACATTAGAAATCTAATGTACTAGAATTGAGATGTAGGACGTTTAAGACTCTGAATGGCATAATTACTTTGGCAGTGGATTGTTGACAAAGGTTGTGTTTGCTTCCCTCTCCTTCTTTCCTTTCTTCCTTCCTTCCTTCCTCTGTTCTCTTGATCTTTTATTTGCTTTGTTGTTTGTTTTAGTTTTTTGAGACAGCCTTTATGTAGCCCTGTCTGTCCTGGAAGTTTCTCTGTAGACCAGGTTGACCTCAAACTCAGAGATCCACCCACCTATGCTTCCAGAGAGCTGGGATTAAAGGCAGGTGTCTGGCACCACTACTTGCCTTCAATTATCTTTTATCTTCTGTTCTTAATATTTATTTTATTTACATGTTTGTGCAGGTGCCCAAAGAGGCCAAAACAACATGTCAATATCCCTGAAGCTGGAGTTCTGTGTGGTTGTGACCTGACATAGCTCACATAGAACTGAACTCATGTCTCTGAAGAGCAGCAAGTGCTCTTAACTGCTGAGCCACCTCTCCAGCCCTCGCCACTCTTTATAGTATGGCATGGCAAGTCGGTCTCATCCCATATGACATGGAAACTTTAGTGGGGGCTTTTCAATCTCTGCAATAGTAAGAAATGCATTTCTGGGTTCTTCTTTTAGTTTTGTTTTTCTTTGAGAGTTTCACAAAACATACCTTGATCATATGCACCCCCTTCATCTTCTCCAAGATCTTAACTATTCCCTACACATCCAGTTCTGTATCCTTACTGTTTTTCAATTTGTGCTACCCATATACTTTTAGGTATGTAATCTTCCACCAGAATGAGGTTGGCCTGTCAGGGACTGCACCTTCCTCTCCCAGCATCTATCAATAGCCAACATCATCTCAGTAAGGGGTGGGGCTCTGCTCACCTCCCCTCTCCAAGCTGTGTTTGACTAGCTTGAGCTTGCAGAGCTCTTGAGCATCCTGTCGCACAAAGAGTGAATTCATCATATGTGCAATCACCTTGCGGCCACAAACAGTTTTCTTATAGTCGTCCACAACTGTACAGCATTTCTACCCCCTCTTTTGAAATGTTCTCTGAGCCTTGTGAGGAGGGGGTATGATATAAATGTGTCCCATTTAAGGAACTTCTGTCCTTTATAAATTTCTCAGTTCATTAATCTGTTACAGGGCCACAAAACAGACTAAGACATTGGTCTTGACACATAATGGCTTATTAATTTAATGCTCCAATTATAAAATAATAGGGAAATTAGTAAGTATTTAAGCATGCAAATCCTTAGGTATGGCTACATTAGAATGCAAATCAGTATATAAATACTTTCAGGTGATATGGAATCACTGGGTACTATAAATTTGTAGACTGGTACATGTAATCAATCCTGCATCTCAAACATCAGGGCACATATCATAAAACGCATTGCAGTCTTTCTCTAATGTATGTTGTAGCTGTTACTGTAGGAACTCTAGTTTCTACTAAAACAGTATAAAAACCACTTTTTGTTTTTATTAAAACATACATTTTAGACTTTGGTAATTCTCACTAGGGTCTCACTATCCTACTTGGCGAGTCTGTAGAAAGTCACATGAGATGTGGAACCATTGTCATGATGCTCCTTTTGCAGAGCAAAACATTCCCTCAGACACTGCAGACAGAAGGTCTTAACTCTGTCAAGCCTCTATGAAAACCTCAACTGTTCCATGTGTTTCCAATCCTGGAAAATCTACCACATTCCTATAGAGGTCTGCTGGCCTGTGCGCTGAAGCTCTCTGTCCCCTTGATTTATCTGGTGTTGTGCCTTCAGTCTTCACCTTCAATCATTTTCTCTCCTTGATGCTTGCCCAGGTCTGTCTGATGGTAAAGGCAAAACAAATCCTTTGTACAGTGGCCACTGGTTCTTCCCCTGACTAAAGCCCTGCATGGATCCTTCTCTTCACAGTGAAGCAGTGTGGTAATTCACCATTGTCACACCTTCCTCTTGCCTCACGCTCATGTACAAGCCTGCTATTAGCTTTATTTGGCTTCTACTACATAAGTAAAGTCATTCCTGAATCAGTTACACATTGCCTACAGAGTCCTGGATTTTTTTGTGGATAGCTATTTTATTTTTTGATCCTTCTACAGTTTCTTTCTGTCTATCTCTTATAGAAACACCAACATCGGTTTCACTTTTCATACTATGGGCTATTGTGGCTTTTCACCCATCTGGCCAGTCAGTCTACGGAGCCTATGTGACTTTGGTTTCTCGTCACTCAGCCAGTCATGAGCTTCTATGCCTTTTTCCTTAGCATCTCTCAAATATTTTATCTTTTCTTTTATCTCCATTGAGGGTGTATTTTTTAATCTCACCTGGATTTTAGGAAGACTTCCTTTGCCTTTCTCTTTCTAGCTATGAATTTACTTTTGCCCTTATCATTGAAAGTATCTTGAATAGTCATCCAAAATTCAGGGAAAAAGTCTAAAAAAGAAGTAAGTTTTACCAAGTCTGGCATCAAACCCCTCCCCTTATTCAGTTTCCTCATTCATCATTTATTCACCTGCACACTTTACCCAACCATAATGAATAACTCGTTGCCTCTCCATTGCTTCAGAGCTCCTTGGTATTTATATGTGCTCTTCTTGGACTGCTACACCATCTTCTGGCATTTGTTTGTTTTTAAAGAGAGGGTTTCTCTTTGTAACAGTGTTGGCTATCCTATAACTCATTCTGTAGACCAGGCTGGCCTCAAACTCACAAGAGATTTGCCTGCCTCTGCCTCTGCTGGAATTAAAGGCATGTATTACCACTTCTTGGCTCTTCTGGTATTTTTAATGGTTTCTTCAAAACAAGCTTGAGCAGACACCCTTTTCCCCTAGGCAACAGCTTTGAGCTAAACTGTTCCAAGGTCATGCGACCATCTTTTTGGTTGTCTACCTGTCTCCACCAGAACAAATCAGCACACTGCATTGTTATTGTCTTTCTGAAATCACCTGTCTTAAGAAGGAATTTCTCTCTTGTTTCTTATTTCTTCAATTCCAGTGTCTGACAAGGTGACTTGTCCTCAGTAAGAGTTCCCACAGGAAAAGAAAAACTCAAACAAAATGTCTTTTAAGGGAAGTTGGTGTGGTGAAGATAAAGCTTAGTTGGCATGATGCTTGCCTAGTTTTGGGCTCAATCTCCGATATTGCATGAACTGGGTGTGGTGATACATGACTTCATGGTCTGATTAAACAAATGAACAAACAAAATATGAATAGGTATGATGTAGCTGCTATAAGTGGGGCATGGTCAATGACTCAAAGGCATTTATACTAATGCAACATCTAGTCCAGTAAGTTTATGGCTAAATGCACATTTGTGTTCTTGAACACACACATCCCAACTGAATATTCCTCTATCAGTCATGGGTTCTGTTATAAATCCATGTTAGTCTTACTAACAAGTTAGTAGTTGAATTGTTCAGTAGAACAAATGTTCCCACCAACTTCAGGTGTAGACCTTTTGTATTCCAGAGCAAAATTCTCACTATATTGCATGAGAGAGAGAGGAAGGGGAGGGAAGGTAGGTTATATAAAAGAGGGTCAACTAACCCAGATTAGTAAACACATTCTACAAAAAATATCAGGAAACTTCTCAAACAGATTCTCCATTTACACTCCCTTGTAGCCAAGCTCTACTAAACACAAAGCAGGAAGTACATTAGCATTGGGTAAAGAACATACTGAGGAAAAGTTACGTGTTTTTACAAGAACAGTTCCTGGTTTCTTCATCTCTCTGTTTATGATGGGGTGTGATATTTGTTGAATTGGGAAATCCAACAGCTCACAGCTAACACAAGGATTTACAATGGTTGGTTCTGGTGTAACATTCATTCTCTGCCTCTATCTGTCTGTTCTCTCTCTCTCTCCACCTTTTATATTTTTATACTTTTGGCCCCTCATAAACTTTCAACAATTCACATGGTGTTCCTTTTATAATTACCCTATAATCAGAAGTGTTTCATGAAAGAAAAAGGAAGTGATTGTGTTATGTGATCATACAGCTATGTGGGTGGTGGGTGTGTGCTACTTCCCAGTCATTATTTCTTTTTGCATTCTTTCTGTGAAGGTGAGAGCCTCAACAGAACAGTGAAGGCTGAGAGACCATCACAGAACCCAAACAACGTATTATATGTTCTCTCCTCTTTCTCTTCTTCCATTTGACTGTCACTTTTGTACACAGAACAAAGAATGGTGTGGGCTGGATGTGAAGAAAACAAGAGACAGGAAAATGATAGGGGTTTTCCATGCATTCAGATAACTGCGTGGGAATTGGTGGTTCTCGGGTCAAATGAAAAGCTATATAAATCCAAGTCCTATTATGAATACAGCATTAGGGCGTATCTCTTAGGGTGTTCTCAGAGTGTCCAAGTCAGATACTCCCACGAGTTCCTGCACATCATGAGAATCCTCCAGTAAGTTGCAACTAAACTAAATTTAAGGGCCAACAAGCAAGCTCTCCCTCTTCCCCAACCTCCTGCAAGCAATATCACCAAACATACAACTGCAAGTGCAGATACATC